ACAATATTGGTTAGCCATCGAAGATAGACCTTATGTTCCTAAAGAAGACATTGATAGTGTATCAATTGAAAAACTACCTAAGGATTGGAATGAGGCCGAAACTAAAAAGGCGTCTTAAGATTTGAAGGTGAGAAATTAGAGGTAGATGATGAGGAGTCGAGTGACTCTTTACAAGACGAAGAGATGGGATTGTTTGTAAGGCGCTACAACAAATATATGAGGAGAAATGGTCTAAAACACTCAGACAAGAACTTAATGAAGTTCAGAAAATCAAATCACTTAAAGAAATGGGATGATAAGAAGAAAGAAGAAAAACAAGTCACATGCTTCGAATGCAGAAAAACCGGTCACTAAAAAAAGGAGTGTCCAAGTTTGGCAAGGAAAAAAGGAAAGAAACATTACCACAAGTCCAAAAGCCAAGGTAAGGGACGACGTGCGTACATCGCTTAGGAAGAGGATGAAGACTCGTTATCATCCTCCTTAAGTTCAGATGAAGAAATAACTAATCTTTGTTTGATGGCTCGAAACAAGCACAAGGACTCCGACGTAAGTGACTCAGATTCTATCTCCTTACCTTCTTATAAAGAGTTATCTGAGGCGTTCTATGAGATGCATTAAAAGCTTTTAAGAAAATCTCCTCTCAAAAAAAATTTGAAACTTAAGGGAGAAATCTTAAAACTTAAAAATGTTCTTGAATCCTTGAAAGAGGACCGTGCATCTTTAGTAAACGACCAATTGTGTATTCCTCCAACTCTAGATGAAAAGAAAATTTTAGTTGAATGTGTTACTTTCCCTTGTTTAAAAAGTGAAATAGAAGATTTACAGGGACAAATAACACAATTAACTAGAGCACCTACCGTCACATCTATTAGTTCAAGCGATGATGAGCAAAACTTTAGAAAAATAAGTAAGAAAAATGCTCACGTCACTATAAAGAATAGAAAGAACAGTTCCCCTAGAGTTGTGTGTCATTATTATTGTGAAAGAGGATACATTAGACCTAAATGCCACATTAGGAATGTGAAAATTCCAAATGATCTTATGGCATGGAGACCCAAGAATCCTAGTGCTAACCCCTAAGGACCCAACACTAGTTGGGGACCTAAAATTCCATGTTGATTATCTTGTAGGAATGTCTTACACAGCAAATAGGATGTGGTTCCTAGAAAGTGGTTGTTCAAGGCATATGACGGGAGACACATCATTGTTCATTAACTTCGTCAATAAATAGCGCAGCTTCATTACGTATGGAGATAACAACAAAGGTAAAATACTAGGAGAAGATATTATGGGAAATCCCTCCACAATTACCATATGGTGTTTTATTTGTAAAAGGGCTTAAACATAATCTTCTTAGCATAAGTCAATTATGCGATAAGGGCTATTCCATAAATTTTGACCCCCTTAATTGCATAATTAAACATAAGAATGACAAGGAAAAAATGTTTAAGGGTTCTAGAATTGATAGTGTTTATATGTTTAATCTAGATGGCGTTTCAAATATTGGTACCAAGTGTTTAGTCACCCGAAGTAAAGACTCTTGGTTGTGGCATAGACGCTTAGGCCGTGTCCATTTTGAGTTAATTAATAAAATAGCTTCTAAGAATCTAGTAATTTATCTACCTAAGATAAAAAAAATTTTAAAGAAAAGCTTTGTGATGCATGCCAAATGGGAAAGCAAACAAGAGTGGCTTTTAAATCCAAAAATTGTGTTTCCACTTCAAAACCTCTTGAGTTTCTCCATCTAGACCTCTTTGGTTCTTCAAGGACTAGAAGTTCACGAGGTAATTACTACGACTTTGTGATAGTAGCGATTTTATTAGATTTACTTGGACCCTATTTTTAAGTCAAAAGGAAGAAACCTTTAAAGCCTTTGTGAAATTTACTAATCCTATCCAAAACCGTCTAGATTTGAAAATAGTCACCCTAAGAAGTGACCATGGTGGTGAATTTGTTAACCACCAATATGAAAGCTTTTACAAAGAAGGCGGAATAGCCCATAACTTCTCATGTCTGTGCACTCCACAACAAAATGGTGTTGTGGAGTGTAAAATTCGTGTTTTAGAATAATTAACATGGACAATGATAAGCGAAATGGGTTTGCCTAAGTACTTTTGGGCCGATGCGATTATTATTGTGTGTCATGTCTTAAATAGGGTACTCATTCAACCTATCCTGGAGAAGACACCCTATGAGTTGCTTAAGGATAGGAAACCTAACATTTCTTACTTTCATGTCTTTGGTTGCAAATGTTTCATTCTAAATAACGACAAAGATAAGCTTGGTAAGTTTGACGCAAAAGCTAATGAGTGAATCTTCTTAGGATACTCATCATCTAGTAAGGCATACATGGTATTCAATAATATAAATTTAATGGTTGAAGAATCTGTACATGTTTCTTTTGATGAAACCAAACCCCAAAAGATGGGGAAAGGTATTTCTTATGTTATTGATGTTTCAGGTTCTAACACGGAAGATAAGATTGACGATGACGTTCCAAAAGTGGATCCTATAAAATATGAGGAGATTAATGTTGATAAAGAGGAAAGTGAACACGAGGATGATAAACATGAGACCTCAAACCAACTTCCTCGAGATTGGATCATCACAAAGGATCATCTGTTGGACAACATCTTAGGAGACATCAAAAAGGGAGTAAACACGCGTTTAAAATTACATAATTTTTGTAATTATTATGATTTTATATCACAAGTTGAACCGAAAGAAAATAGTGATGCTTTGATTGATGAGGGTTGACTTCTTGATATGCAAGAAGAACTTAACCAATTTAAAAGAAATGACTTATGGTATTTGGTCAACCATACTCCAACAATCATACTCCACCATAAAGAGTATCAACATGTATATTTTCAACCAACCCCAACAATCTCCACCATAATTGAAAATAATACATAAGCTTTCATTGTCTTTAACGACAATCATACTCCGCCATAAAGAGTATAGTCACTTGAAGCTACACTACTCCAAGATTTTTCACATTGTCTTCACCAACAATCATAGTTTTAAAAACTATCATACTCTCTCATGAAAAATATATTTCACTTGAAGATAAATCACTTCAAGAATTTCTCATTTTCACCACCGACAATCATATACTTTATCATGAAGAATAAATTTCACTTAAAGCTAAACCACTCCAAGAATTTGATATTGTCTTCACCGACAATCATAGTCTTAAAAACTACCATATTCCACCTAAAAGAAGAGTATACTTCACTTGAAGTTAAACCACTTCAAAAATAGGGATATTCCATACTAAGAAGAGGTAACGTAAAACTAGGGTGATAAGAAGACCTAGGAACTCCTAAAGTAGTGTGCGTAACCACAAAAGTAGTTGGGACGTGGTTGTTTTTGGTGGAGGAACCACCACTTCTGGTAATGTCGTGTAAACCGACATCTGACTTATTACATGAACGATTACTTTAACAAATGTTAAAGTTCCCACACCATCAACTGTCGTGTTGATTGGTTATTATTTCATATTGGAGTGTCGTTCTGAGGAAAGGAAGTATTCTTTGACTTGTTTACCGTCATTTTAACCTTACCACTTCTCAAACGCATACACACTCAAACATTTATATGAAGAACAAAAAAAATAAACAAAAATACGCATAGTTTTCTGCACACACAAAATCCTTGAATTAAAATACACAAAAAAATATTCCACCAGATGTGCCAATTTGTTTACTGGTATTTTTAATAAACAATCCTGAAAGGGTGGTTTTCGAGGAGTGATTAGTGCGTGGATGTTTTGAGTAAAGTTTGTGTGTTTGAAAGGGTGGTTTTGTGTGGGTTCGTGAAAATTCAAGAACAATGTGAAGAAAAGCATAAATACTTAAAATGAAAAGCAATAGGAGTACAATTAAAACAAAGAGGATAATGAAACAAGCTGAAAGTGAAGTGTTTGCATTAACATAAAATAATGTGCATAATCATATATTTCTCACTAAATTTATAAATCATTGTGACTTGGTTATTAAATTATATAGAGAACTTAATAACATTTAAGAACTCCCTTTTATAGTACAGAAAATCGACTTATATACAAGTGAAAAGTATGTGTGTTTCAAAGGGTGGGCTAGTGGCCTCTGCATGGCTTCCACGTGCCTTCACGTCTGAATTATTGCAAACTATCACTTTCGTTGATAACAACTTTTTAAATCCCTCAACTGCCTTTGTCGAAAATCTCCACTCAATTCTATAGTGTTGTCGAAGCATGCTTAGTTCAACTGACCTTTGGATTCAAAAATACACTAAGCCTAAAATCAATGGATGCGTCGAACTCGGCACTTCTACACCACATTTCCATGGCGAGGTGTTGATTTGTGCTTCGACTTATTTTGAAGAGAAAGTGATCATAATCTTATTGATTTGTTTTTGAGACTTTTCCAAACCAAACTTAATGCAGTGTCGAAAATCACATACTAACCTATTGACTCAGATTTATTTTGTGTCAAACTTAAAGAAATAGTAGGAAAAAATGGCTAATAAAAAATAATATATCATAGAATTATAAATATGTAATGAAAGATAAAAGTGAATATTTTATTATTTATCGTATAATATTTACAATAATTAGTATTCGCTTCATTTATTTAGATACTTCCATTTCAAGGAATGTTATTTTTACACTAAAAATTGAACAACTTACACTTATACAGTATAAAATACATGTACATGTAATGATGTGTGTTTTAGAGGCAGGCCAAAGGTAGTGGATTTTCTTTTACTAATAAACTTATAAAATGAAAATTGACAATCTTCCATTTGTGTAATCCACTGATTGTCCAATTCATGCAGTGGAGTGAGAAGAATCTTCAACAGGTATATATAAAGGTTAATTCAATAAACCGTTATTATTAAAATAAAATAAAAAAAGTACATACATGGCAATGAATACAAATAGAAGATACACATAGTTTAAACTTTACTATAATTAAACCTTAAATATATAGAATATATACATCATATATCGCAAACTACCTTCCCCTAGCAAGCATTTTTTCATAATTCTCAATAGATTGAAGCCTTTGAAGCATAAGCTGCTTTCTAAAGTTCTTAATGAAAGCATCAGCACTAGCATTGATGTCTTCTTCACTAGGCAACCTCTCTAGCTTTCTTGGTTGATGACTCACTTTCTTCTCTACCTCATGTGATGTTGATGAAGATGAAGATGAAGAAGAAGAAGATGAAGGGTTTTTCTTCTCTTGGTTGGTGCTTGATGATTGGATATAGCTCTTTCTCATTGTTGCTTTGCTTCTATTTTCTTTGATGACAAAAATAAAGAAAGACTGTGTGTGTGTTATGATGAATAGATATGGTTGCTTTTATAGCCTCATGTTACATGGTTTCTTAGGATTAATGATTATTTTATTGTGAAGCAAAAAGGGATTAATGTTGGTGTTTATTTTTTTTATTCACACGTTTGAGTCAAAGTATTTGAACCTACTTACCTTGTTTTCCTCTTCAAACCAAAGTCAAAGATGGCTTTCAAGAAATGATAAGGTGCGTAGAAAGTTCCACGCAGGCATGATTTACACATTACTATAATGAAAGATTTTATTTAAAGAATACCATACACCTGTATAACTTTTTTCTTAAATGTTTATATTGTGAGTTAGTATACAATGAAACTTTTGAGTTTTTAAATCTTAAAAAAAAAAAAATTATTTTAAAAATATTTTTTTATTTATATTTTATAAAATGTATAACACAATTGGCCTTATTGTATCGCAAAACATTAAAAAATTGCTTTATTGTAATTAATTTTAAGCTTTGAGATCTTAAAAAAATTATTCTAAAAATACATTGTTTTATTGATTAGTTTTAAGCTTTGAGATGACACGAGAAGTAATTAATGTGCGCGAATATTGTTCTTATTGTATCGCAAAACATTAAAAAATTGCAATTGTTAGAAACTTTGTATTGGCTTATAAAGAAATAAAATTTATTAACTAAAGCACAATTTTTCCAAACTTCAACTTAGTAGTATCATTTTTTTTCCCCATCTTTTCAAACTTCAACTAAACCATTACCTCTTCCCATCTTAAAACGTGGAGTGATGTCTACAATTTAAGATACAGAGACCATTAAGGTAGAGCAACCAACAAATTATGATAGGGAGGAAATTACTGACAATTGATTATATTTGTTGAAGGGAAGTCTTTTTTGTGTGACCATTTGTTAATAGGGATGGCAATAGGACATGTCGGCTTACGGATTATTATAGACAGACTTATTTAAATTTGGTAAGGTCCGACTTATTTGATAAAAAAAGATAGACTTTGACTTTTGTAAAAGTCTATTTAATTAAATATGTCAGATTTAGACTATTTAAAAATTCATATGAAGCCTTATAAGTTGACCTATATATACATATCTTTTAGAAAATAGGTTAAATTGTATATAAAAGGTTATTGTTTTCTATTAAAAAATATGTAAAATGGACTACTTAATACGAAACATACTTTTAAATAGGCTTTCAGGTCAGACCAAATTTTTAAAAAATGTCAGTTTATGCCAATAAAAAAAAGTCTATATTAGGTCATAGGTCCGACTCAGCCCTTAAAATTTTATCGTAGGTCAGACTTAGGCCTTATAAGGTATGGTCTGACCTATTCTCACCCCTAATTCTTGGTGAAAAGGTTGCTAAAGACCTACCTTCAGTACTAGAAAAATAGCTTTTAGTGTTAGCCAAAAATGGACGCTAAGAGCCTAAAAGACCAACGCTAAGAGCCTCTGTAAAGCTGAGTCTACACAAACGTTCGACTATAACCAATGCTACAATATTTAAAAGACCAAAAATCAACAAAACTATGTAGCATCATCAACTAGACCAATGCTAAAATCATCATTTGAAAATTCAACAAAATTATGTAGCATACGCGCTAAAGTCAATATTTGAATAGTCAACTTACTTATAGCATTGGTTATTAATCAATGATAAAGTCAATTTTTTGGATAGTCAACAAATTAGTTAGTCTCAGCTTGATCGACACTAAAGTCAACTATCAAAAGGTCAACATCTATGATAATGTCAGCTCATCAATGGTAGGAACAAGTTTTATTTTATTTTGCAATTTACATAAAATCATCTAGCTCTGCGTTTTATAAAATCTTTTTGATCTATTTATAATCGCGTTGGGGTGCAACTGCGATGGCGCCAGCCTCAACCAGTCGAAGACCCCCATTTGAAAATATGAGAAGGCCAGTTGGAATCCCGCCTCGCGAAAGCAAAGTTCATACGTGGGAAATCACATCTTCCCATAGCTCGAATAGATCCGATGGTAGGCTCGCGGCCTGTACAATTGCCAATTTGCAGTGGAACCCTAACAACGATCCTCGACTGTGGCGAACGCGTCGGAGTCATCCTCGACAAAACGGGAAGGCGTACCCAAAAGCTCATCCCCAACCCAGTATTCGACTGTCTGATTTTGCCCTTCAACGGGCGGGGCCGCCGAAGTCTCTTGTTCTTGGTCAAATTCTATTACTTCAGGTATCCACGCAGCCATATTTCACCTAAAAAGCAGAGGAAAATGGTGAATTCGACTTTTAAGATCAAATTCACCCTTCCACCACAACTCAAGTGAAAGGGCAAAGGGGACGACATCTACGACCTAGGCTTCTTCAACCTCGACATCTGCTTCCCCGCGTCACTTACTATCGTATATCCCCGAGAATTCATCTATCTCCCCGAGGCACTCATCTAGACCTATCATATGTCCCTGGGATACTCATCCAGACCTATCATATGTCCCCGAGGTACTCATCCAGTCATATCATATGTCTCCAAGAAGTCCATCTAAAACTACTATGCGTCCTCATGAGCGTCATCATAGGCTCGCTGTAACAGCCCAATTTCGGTTTAACTAATTAATTTAGTTATTGGAATTATTTTAATTATGGGATAGTGCGATAATATGTTAAGTCTACATATTATGTTATTTTATCAATTGTAGAGTTTTGGAAAGTTTAGTGGGAAATATTTCGGACAGTCTCAATTAATGGTTAAGTGGATGATTTATGGAAATTGATTGGAATAATAGGTATATTGGAGGAAATAGAATGGAAAGAAATATAAAGAATAGAAATAGAAAGAAAAGAGATAAGAGTAAAAGAGGAAAGAAAAGAAAAGGATAGAAAGAAAGGGAGAAGAAGGAAAAAGGAAGAGAAAAGAGAAGAAGAAGAGGAAAAGAGTGGAATCATCAAGAGCAACTCAAAGCTTCGATTAATCCAAGGTAAGGGTGTGAAATCTTACTATCTTAATCAATATGTATGGTTACGTATGTGTGTGGTTGATCGGGTAGAGTTTTGGAGAGTTTTCTATAAACTTCCATTTTAGGTCGAAATTGATTCGATCGGTAGAAACCGAGTTTTAATGATTAAAAATGAGAATAAGAGGTAGAATTTAGTCGAGGAATGTTAGACTAAGGCTACTGGAAACGAGTTGGGATTTATCGGGAGATTTCATCGGGTGTTTGGATTCTGAACAGTGGGAGAAAGTTCAGTCCGCAGACGCTCGCTAGCAGCTCGCTAGGCGAGCAGGTCGCGAGTGTTCGCTAGCACCTCGCTAGGCGAGTGCGTAGCGAACGGTCCCAGACTTGGGACAGTGGTGTTTTGGTCTCCTTCGCTGGCAGCGAATGGAGTAGCGAATGACTCGCTGGGGGTTCGTTGTGGCGAACGAGGTAGCGAACGAAGTCTATAGCTTCTGTTCTTGCTCGCTAGTAGTTTGCTAGGCGAGAAGGTGGCGAACGTTTGCTAGCAGCTCGCTAGGCGAGCGTGTAGCGAACGTAGCAGAATAAGTCTTCTCTGCTGTTGGGTGTTGTTGTAGCTTAGGGTTTCGATTGCGATCGACCCTTACTTGATTTAGAAGTTGGAGTGATGGTTCATGACGTACTGTGGGTAACCGATTGGCGTGAATCCTAGGTTAGGAATTGTAGTCGTTTGGGCAATTTCGTGCATTGTTTAATTCGATTAAAAATGCATAACGTTTGGACATGAATGATGAACGTGTCGTGTAGTATTACATTGTGGTGTATGATGTTAGTATATATTTGATCCCTTGGAGGATTTGCAGAACCTCGCTTGATGCGATGGTTATATTTGATCCCTTGGAGGATTTGCAGAACCTCGCTTGATGCGATGGTTATATTTGATCCCTTAGAGGATTTGCAGAACCTCGCTTGATGCGATGGTTATATTTGATCCCTTGGAGGATTTGCAGAACCTCGCTTGATGCAATGGTTATATTTGATCCCTTAGAGGATTTGCAGAACCTCGCTTGATGCGATGGTTATATTTGATCCCTTGGAGGATTTGCAGAACCTCGCTTGATGCGACGGTTATATAGTGATTCATAGGAGAATCTGATGAGTTATAGTGTAACCGTATAAGTGTGAGAGGAGTGAATTCTAAGAGAATCTGACGGACGAATGAGTCGGTACCGTGGTTGTAGCTGCATAGGGTCGAGGTGTCGGTCTCTATGAGTGCATTATCATCTTCATATGATGAATTGAAAATAATGCTTGAGAATGTATTAGTGTATGTATATATATGTATATATATTTATTGTGTCTGGTAAATATGAGAATGAGGTCGATGTATATGTAGAGAGATTCTACTCACTAGGGTAGAACGGCGATGCGTCGTTCCTAGTGAGGTAGTTACCGGGGTAGAATGACCGAGACGTTGTTCCGGTAGAGCATAAGCGACGTACCCATAGTCCGGGAAAAGGATTGAGGGTAGTGAATGAGTCTTATATGAATCGCATGGTATGATTGCGATTGTCATATGTAAATATGCATATGTGCAGGAATTGATGAGATGCGTTAGCGAATAAATAAATGTGAAAGATATTGACTGACGAATAGATGATTAAGTGTGAGCGATTATGTCTGTGTATTTAATGAGGTGAGAATCTATTGTTATGCATTGTAGTGAATAAGTATGAGGTATAGGCATTCGGTACTTGTACATATATATATATATATATATATATATATATATATATATATATATATATATATATATATATATATATATATATATATATATATATATATATATATATATATATATATATATATATATATATATATATATATATATATATATATATATATATATATATATCTTATGCCTTGATTATTATGATAATGTTTCTCACCCTTCTGTTGTTTTATAATGCCCTACGAGGCATTGCAGATTAGGATTCGCTGGAGGTTTCCTTTGGAGTATAGCTCTTTTC